TGAAGAAGTCGTGGCGTAGTTCTGGGAAATAATATGTTATTTTCTGCGATAATATGCCTCTGTGTTATGTCTGCAGAAACAACAGACGTAGGCAGAGGGATGCGGCCCTCTGTCTCCGAACGACCTAATCTTTGGGTAACTATAGGCAATGCCGCAGGACAGGACACTGTTTGCCTGTCTGTGGCTTCGGCTGCTAACCCTTTTCAAACCTGTCTGGTGGGTCTTCCGACAGACGGAAAAGTATATCAAGTTTGTAATGGTACCCCTGCCGCCCTAATGGGCTGTGGTCGGTGGGGCGACGTTTGGGATGGTTGGATGCCCTACCTGCCGGTGTTACCTGGGGAACCACAAGAAATAGAGTTATTAGGTTCTGTGCAGAGGAATCAGTGTATATATTTCAATTATACAGGATGAAATTCCTCTCGAAGGGGAATCACTGTTGTTAATGCTACTTTAGCTGTTTATCGCAACACAACTTTATGCTGTAATGTAACATTGGGAATGTATTTGCCCATTTCTACAGTGATTCTACAAAAACGATGAAATCGCATTAGACGATCTACACATCTTTTTCAAAAAGACTGTAGAGATGATTTTACCTTCTGGAACCCAGGAGAGATTATTATGGCATCCATTTTACTCCTGGGGTCGCTGCTGCAAATGCTGTAGCAACCTTAAATAAATTAGGATGTTGGCTTGCCAAGCAAACTAATAATACTGCAGCAGCACTGTCAGGGCTGCTTACTGATGTTGATTCTATAAGACGTGCTACATTGCAGAATCGTGCAGCTATAGATTTTTTATTATTGGCACATGGCCACAGGTGTGAGATTGTGGAAGGAATGTGCTGTATGAATTTGTCAGATCACTCGGAATCTATTCACGACAGTATATTAAGATTGAAAGCGAAGCTGAGGCTAGACGACAATGACTGGCTGGAACGATTGTTCTCAGGATGGGGGATCACAGGGTGGTTATTAACTATTGTGAAGAGCGGCTTGATTATGTCACTGATGATCTTAGTCTGTTTGTGTCTGTTTCCCTGTCTTCTACAATGCATGCGACGAATGATAGATGGCGCCTTCAATCAACAAGCATATGCAGTTTTGTTAAAACAAAAAGGGAGAGATGTCGGGGGCCATGCGTACCAGAAGAGGACTGGGAGCAGCAACAAAGTATTCTCTCAGTGCCAGAAGCCCTGGGAAAGCGCGCCTGCCATGAAGACTTGTGCCAGTGCCAAGACGGGCAGGTGCGCGTGAGCTCTCCGAGTGCAGATATTGAAACTAGGGCAAGGACGTGAGAGAGGGAAGATAATCTCGATGCAGAGCGCGGCTTGTAGTAATGTAGCAAAGCAACTTTAATCTGTAAACACAGCTGTATTCTCACATAATAAAGTATATAAGAGAGGACGAAATATGAAATAAACAGTCTTGCTTCACTACACGCAAGGTTCGTGCTTCAGTCCCCACATCTGTCTGTGCGAGATAGGCGAAGAGCCGGGTAGATCAGGTGGGGTCCTGTGATGCAGATAGGACCACTCGGGAATCCTGCTTCTGGGAGGAGAGGATAATGGCTGCGCCATCAAGAAGGTTATTTAGCAGGTTCTCTCCCCAGGGGGGATACTTGTTAATTATCTGAGCACCAAAAGAAATATCCTTGGACCCAGGAAAAGGAGGGATGAGCAGGCAGAACCTGACGGGGAAGAACTCCAAAAGGGGAACTCTGAGGCTGGGGGCAAGAGGAGGTTTATGAAGGGGTAAAGTGATCCGAGAGGAATTCACACAGCTTAAGCCATGCTTGGGGGTACTAAGGGTGTGCTGAGTACTGGCTTTGCTTTTAAATGGGCCGTCTGAGCCCTGCTGTTAAGAACATCTTCCACAAACGATGGTTACTTGCAACTGAAAAGCAAAACTCACAACCCACAACAAGTTGGGAGGTACCAAAAGGAGCTGGATGTGGCAGTGATGATGACTCTGCAGCACTTCTATGGCAGGGGCATACAGAATGCGCTATGAAATCTAATTACAACAGATCTTCTCTATCTTCTCAATCTCCTAAAGGGGTAAATGTAAATTCCAGCGTTTCCTCTGCTGATCGACAATGTAACAGGGCAGATCTGACAGCATCTCGCTGCACAGCACTGACCGACCCTGCTGTCACTCAGAAACTGCCCAGAGACTTAGACCTAAAGTCCAAGGAAACTAACTATACTATACTGAGATGCAGGACATAAAAGATTGTGCCACGAGCCAGTCAAAGTTTACCGGGCTCAAGGAGCGAGTGGACGGGTTCACGTAATGGAAACCCACCATTATAAGGCTTTGTCTTATAATGGCCTCAGGAGGCCCGCTCCTGCTTTTAAAACTTTCCCCTCAGTTCAAAGCCTGTAAGGAGGGAAAGGCCAGTGAAAGCAAAGGCAGCAGCGACCACAATCGTTCACGAAGCCGGGTGAGATTTCTGCTTCTCCTGAATGACAAACCGTGCTTTCCCCTTCTCTGAGGGAGATCCTGTAACCACATGGGCTCCACCCGGTTTAGTTCCCTGCCCGTGACACCCCTCGGGGAGGGCTGCGGCCCCTACGCCCTCAGGAGGGCCCTGAGGGGTCACCAGGGCTCCGCTCGGGCACAGCGGCTCCATAGGGGCAGCCCACTGAGGCCCGGACGCCTTCTAATGGTAATTTAAGCACATTCAGGAGCAAAAGCTGCCTCTGAGCCCAAATTTTCCCCGTCCCTCAGCGTCC